GTGGTAGGTACACAGACACGTGGTAGGTACACAGACACGTGGTAGGTACACAGACACGTGGTAGGTACACAGACGAGTGGTAGGTACACAGACGAGTGGTAGGTACACAGACGAGTGGTAGGTACACAGACGAGTTGGTAGGTACACAGACGTGTGGTAGGTACACAGACGAGTTGGTAGGTACACAGACGAGTGGTAGGTACACAGACGAGTTGGTAGGTACACAGACGAGTTGGTAGGTACACAGACGTGTGGTAGGTACACAGACGAGTGGTAGGTACACAGACGAGTGGTAGGTACACAGACGAGTGGTATGTACACAGACGTGTGGTAGGTACACAGACGAGTGGTAGGTACACAGACGAGTGGTAGGTGCACAGACGAGTGGTAGGTACACAGACGAGTTGGTAGGTGCACAGACGAGTGGTAGGTGCACAGACGCGTGGTAGGTGCACAGACGCGTGGTAGGTGCACAGACGCGTGGTAGGTACACAGACGTGTGGTAGGTACACAGACGAGTTGGTAGGTACACAGACACGTGGTAGGTACACAGACACGTGGTAGGTACACAGACACGTGGTAGGTACACAGACACGTGGTAGGTACACAGACACGTGGTAGGTACACAGACACGTGGTAGGTACACAGACGTGTGGTAGGTACACAGACACGTGGTAGGTACACAGACACGTGGTAGGTACACAGACGTGTGGTAGGTACACAGACACGTGGTAGGTACACAGACACGTGGTAGGTACACAGACACGTGGTAGGTACACAGACACGTGGTAGGTACACAGACGCGCGCGCGACACCAAGCCGCCGGGACGGCTTCGAGCGCGGCGCTTGCGGGATGTCCAAGTCCAAAAATCGGAATCTTCGCTCAGGCCCTGGCGAGAGCGGGCGGGGGGCGGGAGAAATCCGACGAGCCGCGAAGCTATTCAGATCGAGCGCAAGACGCCCCGGTTGCGCGAGGAGACGGTATTCCCGCTCGCCTGCGACGCAGGGAGCCCGTGGGTTCGATCGCGGACTTCCCCCGACGATGCCTGTTGCCGTGGCAGATCACTGTTATAATTCAGTGGGCTCACGTGACATTGACTTCTCCAAGACAGAGGTTCTCTGCAAGCCATCTGGCTACCATGAGAGATTCGTTCATGAGGCCATCCACATACACAAACACAGAGACAATTTCAACCGAGAAGATGGATTCTGGCTTAGCAATCATTGGAAGGATTTGATCAACCATTTCGAGTCTTAATTGATTGTTCACGCTTACGGTGGCTTTCAGACCGCATCCATTATTCTCGTCTCCCCCCTCCTCTTTTCCGAACATAGATGGACTCGTCCATCTGAACAAACTGCCAAATCGCTCTCCGTGGTGCTAACGTTAAAAAACAAACGCCACTTTTTTCACATTTTCTTGCTGTGGTTTTCACACCTGATGATGATTGCTTGTGTTGCAGTCGAAACGTCGTGATAATTTTATTGTTTTATATTTTATTATTTTATTGTTCCCCTTCTACGTGGTGACTTTACCAAAAGAACCAAGAATATGATGCCAGTTGCGTTGCGGGATTTGAAGTTTGCGGCGCCCGCGGCGGTGAGCGACAAATTGCAGGGGGCTGTCGAACTTTACACCGGAGCTCGTTATAACATCTCGTCGTCGTCGTCATTGATGCTGTTGACGCCGATCATTATTATCAGTGGTATTATTTTAAATAACATGATGCTGATGATGATGTCAAATGTATTTATCCAGGAAAAGTCTCACCGATCCCTCGAGACTCCCGAGGTCAGGATGGCGCCGCTACGGTTGAGACGGTCCGTTGGCCGGGCGGCGCAGGTTGGAGAATGCTGGGGGAGCCGTAGAGTTGCGGGGAGGAGTGCAGTACAACAGTGGATTTTTTTCCCGCGCTTCCCCGGAGCGGCCTTCTGGCCAAACTAAACCAAACCATTGTTTTTATTTCACCAGCTACAGTAAGGGCCCCACTGAGCTATGTAGCTATTTTTCAGAAGCGACCTGGCCATCACAAATGATAGCCCCAACGAAGTGGGCTTATCATATGGACATGTCTAGCAGTAGCCAAAGACTCTAAACGCGTGACGTTGATTATAAATGTGAGGGGGAAAACCGGAGGACCCTGAGACAAGTCCACACGACCACTGGGAGAGAGAGACACGCAAACTCCGAATATACAGCAGCAGCAGGCGTCAGGGTCAGGATCGGACCCACGACCTCCCGTATACCAGGCGAGGTAGTTAACATCTCATAGCCATCGTGATGATGATGAGAGAGAGACACGCAAACTCCGAATATACAGCAGCAGCAGGCGTCAGAGTCGGGATCGAACCCACGACCTCCAGTATATCAGGCGAGGTAGTTAACATCTCATAGCCACCGTGGCACCCAAATGCTATGCAGGATGAGGCGACCGAGGGGAGACCTAAAGAAGGCAGGAGGGGGAGGAGGGAGGAGGGGGGAGGAGGGAGTGGGGAGTGAGGAGGGGGAAGGGGAGAGGGGCGAAGAGGGGGAGGGGTAGGAGGGAGGAGGGGGGAGGAGGAGGGACCGTCAAAGCCGTGAGGTGCCGTGTCTGGGAATTGAACTTGGGGGACACGGGTTTCGTAGTGCGGTGTGCTAACCACTGCGCCACCGCTCCATCCCGAACTCGCACTCACATCACGTAACGTTTTCCAGATGCAGAAAAATTACTGTTTGGAATACGGTGGTTGGCTCTGCTAAAAATAAAAATACACATATATACTAACGTCCTCTATTTACTCAGGAGAGCCGCCGCGCGCTGGGATGTTTGGCGAATTCCTATTTTTATTAAAATAACACAAATAATAATGAGAGTTTAACTTTGTGTGGGAAGAACTGGAGATCGCGGAGAAAACGCCACCGCTCGCACGCGCAACGGGAGGAGAACGCGTGGATGAGTTCACGGACCCGCTTGCTGTGCTGCCCGGCCAATAAACTCTGACCGTTTGTAGTAGAACCCGTGGGGACGCGCAGAGATTCACAGAGGCTCGGGGTGATACATTGAGACCCATACAGGTAGACAGAGACCCATAGAGATGCATTAAAAAACGGGCCGCGGTAGTGCGGCCGAGGGACGTGCAACCCAGACCACGATCAGTGCGAGATTCATAGAGATACATATGGAGCCGTAGAGATACACCGTATCGAGACTCACGGAGATGCATTAGAGACAATCCAGAGTGCGATCGTGCCGATGCATCCCGATTGACTAAGGGCCATAGAGCCAACCCATAGAGCCAACCCATAGAGGCACAGATTCGTAGAGAGCCACGGAGATGCGCAGGGGCCCATAGAGGTACCCAGCGCTACGTTAAAGGCAAGCCAGGGCAGTGCGACCGTGGACATGTAACACAAACTACGGACCGTGCAGTAACCCTGCTGCGGTAGTCGGCGCTCCTTTAACGGAGGAGGAGGAGGAGGAACAGCGACACGACACATAGAGATGCACATAGAGCCATAGATATACACTGAGGACAATCTTTCGCCGCGGTATTAACCGGGGCGGCCGCCAGGGTTCGAACCGCGAAGCTCCTGCAACGAGCGGCGTAGCGTGTGGGTGGACGCGCGCACGCACGCACGCGCGTGAGTGTGTGTGTGCGTGTGTCTTCACGCACACACACACGCACGCGCGTGAGTGTGTGCGTGCGTGAGTGTGTGTGTGCGTGTGTCTTCACGCACGCACTCACGCACGCGCATGAGTGTGTGCGTGCGTGAGTGTGTGTGTGTGCGTGTGTCTTCACGCACACACACACGCACGCGCGTGAGTGTGTGCGTGTGTCTTCACGCATGTGGAAGCAAGTTTCGGCCCGTTATTTATTTGTTTAAATAATTATAGCTCGCGCACATTTTTGGCAATTTGACCGAATCCAGACTTTGCGCAATGCCGTTGTTTATTTATTCATGGTTTCGCCGTTACAGACGAATTCTCACATTTTAAGTTTTAGGTTTTTTTAACTAAGGAGAAAGCAGTGGGGGGTGGGGGGCACCGTAAAAAAAAAAAACATTGATTGACTTTTTTTGAAAGTTGAGCCCCGGAAAAAAAATTGATACTAAGCATCACCAGCCACCGGCGTTATGCCAACGGTGGCTCGCCAACCCTCACGGCTCCCCCCTCGCCGCACCGTGGCTCCCCGTGGCAGTCACCGAACAAATGTCCAGAAGCGTCGGCTACCGGGGCTTCATAGCTCATCACATTCCTCGCCGGCATGAAGATTCCTTTAGCGCTGTGGACGTCCACCACCCAACGGTGACGCACGGCCAAACGCCGCCAGAAACATTCCGCTCGCTCTTCAGCGTAACCCGGGGGTACGGCTCCCTCCTCCTCCTCCTCGACCATCGACGCTCACTCACGGGGAAGGGAGTTTCACAACATTCGTGCGGTGATCCGCAAACCCTCGCTGCTACTGCCTCTACAGCGCTGGATTACCGCCACTACCGCCGCCACCACCACCACTACCGCCACCACCGCCACTACCACCACCACCACCGCCGCCACTACCACCACTGCCACCACCACCACCACCGCCACCACCACCACCGCCACTACCACCACCACCACCACCGCCACCACCACCACCACCACCACCGCCGCCACTACCACCACTGCCACCACCACCACCACCGCCACCACCACCGCCAACTCCGCTACCACGACCGCCACCACCGCAACCACCGCCGCCTCCACCACCGCCACCACCGCCGCCACCGCTACCACGGCCGCCGCCGCCGCCACAACCAAAAGGAATGACAAGTCACAAACAACAACAACAAGCACTAGAAATAAACGAGGTTGGGAGAAAGCTTCTTGGGTGCCAGCCTGGCCTAGTGACTGCTGCCTCGCTACCCTGGGTGGGGGCAGCCGAGTCGGAGGGGGGGTGAAGAGGTGGGGGAGGGAACGTGACGGGGAGGGGGGGGGGGGCCGAGTGGAGGATGAGGGGGGGCGTGGGGGGCGACGCGTTACCTCTGCACGAAGCCACGCACAACGGCCGCGCCGCTTTTGAGCTCGTTGAGAGCGAGGAGGTACTCCTGCGTGAAGAGGCGCAGGCACGGGCTCTTGAGGAAGTCCTATGCACGCGCACACAAAAAAAAGACAAAGATCCCCCGTGTAGCCTTAACAGACTGTAGGGGCAAGTGCTGTTAGCGAGCACCTATGAAGGCCGGAACGGCACACGAGGGGGTGGGGTGGCCAGCACCGCGCCCGGCCGCCTTTGTCTCCCTAGCCGCGATGTTTACACACCGCGGCTGAGTCGACCTAGGGGAGGCCCGGGACCGGTTAAGATAATCGTCACTGGTGTTGGCCGTGAGCGGGAATCGAACCCGGGTCGCCGGATTCGTAGCGGGGCGCGCTAACCGCTACACTACCGCTAACCACTACACACACACGAACACACACACTCACACACGAACACACACACTCACACACGAACACACACTCACACACGAACACACACTCACACACACACACGAACACACACACACACGAACACACACACACACGAACACACACACACACGAACACACACACACACGAACACACACACGAACACACACACACACACGAACACACACACACGAACACACACACACACGAAGACACACACACGAACACACACTCGAACACACACTCACACACGAAGACACACACACACGAACACACTCGCACACGAACACACTCGCACACGAACACACACTCACACACGAACACACACACGAAGACACACACACGAACACACTCACACATGAACACACTCACACACTCACACACGAACACATACTCACACACGAACACACACACGAAGACACACACACACGAACACACTCACACGAACACACACACACACACGAACACACACTCACACACGAAAACACACTCACACACGAAAACACACACACACGAACACACACACAGACACGTTTGCACCGTAGTTGTTGGTGCTTATGACTTCATCATCATCATCAAGTGCACCACCAATGACAGCAGCACCAACACCAACATTATCAGTCGTAATAATCGCCATCACCACACGAGCAGCTCTTCGCTTGCAGCGACAACAACATTCTCGCTCGCTCGCCACGCTCCGAGAATCCACCACTCGCTCGTTTGCTCCATCGCTCGACTGCCCACTCCACCGCTTGATCGCTCTGCTCGCTCCATCGCTCTCTCGATGGCTCGCTCGCCCGATGGCCCAATGCTCATTCACTCGATTGCCTGCTCGCTCGCTGCTCACTCAATCGCTCTCTGCTCACTCAATCGCTCTCTCAATCGCTCGCTCGAGTGCTCGCTCGCTCAATTTCTCGCACAATCGCTTGCTCGATCGCTCAATTCCTTGCTCGATCGCTCAGTTGCTCGCTCGATCACTCAGTTCCTCGCTCGATCGCTCAATTGTTCGCTCGATCGCTCAGTTGCTCGCTCGATCGCTCAGTTGCTCGCTCAATTGCTCAGTTGCTCGCTCGATCGCTCAGTTGCTCGCTCGATCGCTCAGTTGCTCGCTCAGTCATTCCATCACTCTTTCGCTTGCTCACTCACTCACCACGTTGTGCTTGAGGATTCTCTGCACGACTGGCGTGAAGACTTCAGTGATGACCTTCGACCGCGGGCACGCCACGCAGTGCTGGCCACAACACACACGGGCACACAGGGTTAACCACAACGCTCCACACACAACGGGGTAAACTACAACGCTCCACACACAGGGTCAACCACAACACACACAGGGATATCCACAACACTCACAGGGCTCAACCACAACAATATACTCACAGTGTCAACCACAACAATATACACAGTGTCAACCACAACAATATACACACAGTGCAAGCACAACACTCAGAGGGGACAAACCACAACACTCACAGGGTCAACCAAAACACTCACAGGGGCTAACCACACCACTACATACACAGGGTCAACCACAACACTCACAGGGTCAACCACAACACTCACAGTGGTCAAACACTACACTCACAGGGTCAACCACAACACTCAGAGGGGACAACCACAACACTACACACAGGGTCAACAACAACACTACACACAGAGTCAACCACAACACTCACAGGGTCACCCACAACACTCACAGTGGTCAAACACTACACTCACAGGGGGCGACCACAACACTCACTGTGGTAAAACACTACACTCACAGGGGTCAACCACAACACTCAGAGGGTACAACCACAACACTACACACAGGGTCAACCACAACACTAACAGGGGGCGACCACAACACTCACAGTGGTCAAACACAACACTCACAGGGTCAGCCACAACAGTCACAGGGGCAACCACAACACTCACAGGGTCAACCACAACACTCACAGGGTCAGCCACAACACTCACAGGGTCAAACACAACACTCACAGGGTCCAACCACAAAACTCACAGGGGTCAACCGCAACACTCACAGGTGTCAACCACAACACCTATAGGGTCAACCACAACACTCAGAGGGGACAACCACAACACTACACACAGGGTCAACCACAACACTCACAGGGTCAACCTCAACAGTCACAGGGGTCAACCACAACAGTCACAAGGGTCAACCACAACACTCACAGGGTCAACCACAACACTCACAGGGGTCAACCACAACACTCACAGGGTCCAACCACAACAGTTACAGGGGTCAACCGCAACACTCACAAGGTCAATCGCAACACTCACAGGGGTCAACCACAACACTCACAGGGGTCCACACGCCATATCCCACACAGGCAGAGCCCCCCAGTAGCTGAACCCCCCCCCCCTTACCTTGCAAAAGAAGTCACAGAGCGCGGGAGAGGGATGGTTATTGTCCAGTAGTGGAGCGATGGCCTGTGTGGTGAGTGTGGTGAGTGTGGTGAGTGTGGTGAGTGTGGTGAGTGTGGTGAGTGTGGTGAGTGTGGTGAGTGGTGATTGTGGTGAGTTTGGTGAGTTTGGTGAGTGTGGTGAGTGTGGTGAGTGTGGTGAGTGTGGTGAGTGTGGTGAGTGTGGTGAGTGTGGTGAGTGTGGTGAGTGTGGTGAGTGTGGTGAGTGGTGATTGTGGTGAGTTTGGTGAGTTTGGTGAGTGTGGTGAGTGTGGTGAGTGTGGTGAGTGGTGAGTGTGGTGAGTGTGGTGAGTGTATGAGTGGCGAGTGTGGTGAGTGTGGTGAGTGTGGTGAGTGTGGTGAGTGTGGTGAGTGTGGTGAGTTTGGTGAGTTTGGTGAGTGTGGTGAGTGTGGTGAGTGTGGTGAGTGTGGTGAGTGTGGTGAGTTTGGTGAGTGTGGTGAGTGTGGTGAGTGTGGTGAGTGTGGTGAGTGTGGTGAGTGTGGTGAGTTTGGTGAGTGTGGTGAGTGGTGAGTGTGGTGAGTGTGGTGAGTGTGGTGAGTGGTGAGTGTGGTGAGTGTGGTGAGTGTGGTGAGTGTGGTGTGTGTGTGGTGAGTGTGGTGAGTGTGGTGAGTGTGGTGAGTGTGGTGAGTGTGGTGAGTGTGGTGAGTGTGGTGAGTGGTGATTGTGGTGAGTGGTGAGTGTGGTGAGTGTGGTGAGTGTGGTGAGTGGTGAGTGTGGTGAGTGTGGTGAGTGTGGTGAGTGTGGTGAGTGTGGTGAGTGTGGTGAGTGGTGATTGTGGTGAGTGGTGAGTGTGGTGAGTGTGGTGAGTGTGGTGAGTGGTGAGTGTGGTGAGTGTGGTGAGTGTGGTGAGTGTGGTGTGTGTGTGGTGAGTGTGGTGAGTGTGGTGAGTGTGGTGAGTGTGGTGAGTGTGGTGAGTTTGGTGAGTGTGGTGAGTGGTGAGTGTGGTGAGTGTGGTGAGTGTGGTGAGTGGTGAGTGTGGTGAGTGTGGTGAGTGTGGTGAGTGTGGTGTGTGTGTGGTGAGTGTGGTGAGTGTGGTGAGTGTGGTGAGTGTGGTGAGTGTGGTGAGTGTGGTGAGTGTGGTGAGTGGTGATTGTGGTGAGTGGTGATTGTGGTGAGTGTGGTGAGTGTGGTGAGTGGTGAGTGTGGTGAGTGTGGTGAGTGTGGTGAGTGTGGTGAGTGGTGATTGTGGTGAGTGGTGAGTGTGGTGAGTGTGGTGAGTGTGGTGAGTGTGGTGAGTGTGGTGAGTGTGGTGAGTGTGGTGAGTGTGGTGAGTGTGGTGAGTGTGGTGAGTGTGGTGAGTGTGGTGAGTGTGGTGAGTGTGGTGAGTTTGGTGAGTGTGGTGAGTGGTGAGTGTGGTGAGTGTGGTGAGTGTGGTGAGTGGTGAGTGTGGTGAGTGTGGTGAGTGTGGTGTGTGTGTGGTGAGTGTGGTGAGTGTGGTGAGTGTGGTGAGTGTGGTGAGTGTGGTGAGTGTGGTGAGTGTGGTGAGTGGTGATTGTGGTGAGTGGTGAGTGTGGTGAGTGTGGTGAGTGTGGTGAGTGGTGAGTGTGGTGAGTGTGGTGAGTGTGGTGAGTGTGGTGAGTGGTGATTGTGGTGAGTGGTGAGTGTGGTGAGTGTGGTGAGTGTGGTGAGTGGTGAGTGTGGTGAGTGTGGTGAGTGTGGTGAGTGTGGTGTGTGTGTGGTGAGTGTGGTGAGTGTGGTGAGTGTGGTGAGTGTGGTGAGTGTGGTGAGTGTGGTGAGTGTGGTGAGTGTATGAGTGGCGAGTGTGGTGAGTGTGGTGAGTTTGGTGAGTGTGTGTGTGGTGAGTGGTGAGTGTGGTGAGTGTATGAGTGGCGAGTGTGGTGAGTGTGGTGAGTTTATGAGTAGTGAGTGTGGTGAGTGTGGTGAGTGTGGTGAGTGTGGTGAGTTTGGTGAGTTTGGTGAGTTTGGTGAGTGGTGAGTGTGGTGAGTGTATGAGTGGCGAGTGTGGTGAGTGTGGTGAGTTTGGTGAGTGTGTGTGTGGTGAGTGGTGAGTGTGGTGAGTGTATGAGTGGCGAGTGTGGTGAGTGTGGTGAGTTTATGAGTAGTGAGTGTGGTGAGTGTGGTGAGTGTGGTGAGTGTATGAGTGGCGAGTGTGGTGAGTGTGGTGAGTTTGGTGAGTGTGTGTGTGGTGAGTGGTGAGTGTGGTGAGTGTATGAGTGGCGAGTGTGGTGAGTGTGGTGAGTTTATGAGTAGTGAGTGTGGTGAGTGTGGTGAGTGTGGTGAGTGTGGTGAGTTTGGTGAGTTTGGTGAGTTTGGTGAGTGGTGAGTGTGGTGAGTGTATGAGTGGCGAGTGTGGTGAGTGTGGTGAGTTTGGTGAGTGTGTGTGTGGTGAGTGGTGAGTGTGGTGAGTGTATGAGTGGCGAGTGTGGTGAGTGTGGTGAGTTTATGAGTAGTGAGTGTGGTGAGTGTGGTGAGTGTGGTGAGTGTGTGTGTGGTGAGTGGTGAGGGTGGTGAGTGTATGATTGGCGAGTGTGGTGAGTGTGGTGAGTGTATGAGTGGTGAGTGTGGTGAGTGTGGTGAGTGTGGTGAGTGTGTGTGTGGTGAGTGGTGAGGGTGGTGAGTGTATGATTGGCGAGTGTGGTGAGTGTGGTGAGTGTATGAGTGGTGAGTGTGGTGAGTGTGGTGAGTTTGGCGAGTGTGTGTGTGGTGAGTGGTGTGTGTGGTGAGTGGTGAGTGGATGTATGTGTGTGTGGTGATTGGTGTGTGTGGTGAGTGGTGTGTGTGGTGAGTGGTGAGTGTGGTGAGTGTGGTGAGTGTATGTGTGTGTGAGTGGTGAGTGTGGTCAGTGGTGAGTGTGCGTGTGGTGAGTGGTGAGTGTTGTGAGTGTGGTGAGTGATGAGTGTGGTGAGTGGTGTGTGTGGTGAGTGTGGTGAGTGGTGTGTGTGCGTGTGGTGAGTGTGGTGAGTGTGAGTGTAGTGAGTGATGAGTGTGGTGAGTGATGAGTGTGGTTAGTGGTGAGTGTGGTGAGTGGTAAGTGGTGAGTGTGATGAGTGTGGTGAGTGGTGAGTGTGGTGAGTGTGGTGAGTGGTGAGTGTGGTGAGTGGTGTGTGTAGTGAGTGGTGAGTGGTGAGTGTGGCGAGTGTATGTATGTGTGAGTGGTGAGTGTGGTGAGTGGTGAGTGTGGTGGGTGTATGTGTGTGTGGTGAGTGGTGAGTGTGGTGAGTGTATGTGTGTGTGGTGAGTGGTGAGTGTATGTATGAGTGAGTGGTGAGTGTGGTGAGTGGTGAGTGTGGTGAGTGTGAGTGTGGTGAGTGATGAGTGTGGTGAGTGGTGAGTGTGGTGAGTGGTGAGTGTGGTGAGTGGTGTGTGTAGTGAGTGGCGAGTGGTGAGTGTGGAGAGTGTATGTATGTGTGAGTGGTGAGTGTGGTGAGTGTGGTGAGTGGTGAGTGTGGTGAGTGGTGAGTGTGGTGAGTGTATGTGTGTGTGGTGAGTGGTGAGTGTGGTGAGTGTATGTGTGTGTGGTGAGTGTATGTATGAGTGTGTGGTGAGTGGTGAGTGTGGTGAGTGGTGAGTGTGGTGAGTGTATGTGTGTGTGGTGAGTGGTGAGTGTATGTGGTGAGTGTATGTATGTGTGTGTGGTGAGTGGTGAGTGTGGTGAGTGTATGTGTGTGTGGTGAGTGGTGAGTGTATGTATGAGTGAGTGGTGAGTGTGGTGAGTGGTGAGTGTGGTGAGTGTAGGTATGTGTGTGTGTCAATGCGTGTGTGGAATCGTGGTGCAAAAAACAAATACCAGAGTGAATTTCTCCATTTCAAATCAAAAGTGACGTGCGCCGTGAGAACAAAACTTTCAACTTGTAATGCCACGGTCGCCACCACCGCACAGTACTCACTCATCGCTCTCGGAGAGAGAAAGAACGACTCGGAGAGAGGGCGACTCGGAGAGAGAGAGGACGACTCAGAGAGAGAGAGGACGACTCAGAGAGAGGGGACGACTCAGAGAGAGAGGACGACGCAGAGAGAGAGAGAGCGACTCAGAGAGAGAGAGCGACTCAGAGAGAGAGGGCGACTCAGTGAGAGGACGACTCAGAGAGAGAGGGCGACTCAGTGAGAGGACGACTCAGAGAGAGAGGGCGACTCAGAGAGAGAGGACGACTCAGAGAGAAAGGACGACTCAGAGAGGACGACTCAGAGAGAGAGAGGGCAACTCTGAGAGAGAGGACGACTCAGAGAGAGAGAGAGGGTGACTCAGAGAGAGAGGACGACTCAGAGAGAGAGGACGACTCAGAGAGAGAGGGCGACTCAGAGAGAGAGTACGACTCAGAGAGAGAGAGGACGACTCAGAGAGAGAGGACGACTCAGAGAGAGAGGACGACTCAGAGAGAGAGGACGACTCAGAGAGAGAGGGCGACTCAGAGAGAGAGGACGACTCAGAGAGAGAGAGGACGACTCAGAGAGAGAGCGACTCAGAGAGAGAGGACGACTCAGAGAGAGAGGACGACTCAGAGAGAGAGAGGACGACTCAGAGAGAGAGAGGACGACTCAGAGAGAGAGGACGACTCAGAGAGAGAGAGAGGACGACTCAGAGAGAGAGAGAGGACGACTCAGAGAGAGAGAGAGGACGACTCAGAGAGAGAGAGAGGACGACTCAGAGAGAGAGGACGACTCAGAGAGAGAGGACGACTCAGAGAGAGAGAGGACGACTCAGAGAGAGAGAGGACGACTCAGAGAGAGGACGACTCAGAGAGAGGACGACTCAGAGAGAGAGGACGACTCAGAGAGAGAGGACGACTCAGAGAGAGAGGACGACTCAGAGAGAGGACGACTCAGAGAGAAAGGACGACTCAGAGAGAAAGGACGACTCAGATAGAGAGGACGACTCAGAGAGAGAGGACGACTCAGATAGAGGACGACTCAGAGAGAGAGAGGACGACTCAGAGAGAGAGAGGACGACTCAGAGAGAGAGAGGACGACTCAGAGAGAGAGAGGACGACTCAGAGAGAGAGAGAGGACGACTCAGAGAGAGAGGACGACTCAGAGAGAGAGGGCGACTCAGAGAGAGAGGACGACTCAGAGAGAGAGAGGACGACTCAGAGAGAGAGGACGACTCAGAGAGAGAGAGGACGACTCAGAGAGAGAGAGAGGACGACTCAGAGAGAGAGGACGACTCAGAGAGAGAGGACGACTCAGAGAGAGAGAGGACGACTCAGAGAGAGAGAGGACGACTCAGAGAGAGAGGACGACTCAGAGAGAGAGAGAGGACGACTCGGAGTCGCCAGGAGGAGGACCCACGGACGGGCATGAAGACGAGGCAGTGCCAGCAATTGCTGCGGGGCTGCGCCCGTACCTTAGGCACGACGTCACGTTATTATCTTTAAATAAATATAAATATATGTTCTTACCAGAATAATGTCATCGATCTCGTTGGTGGTGAGGTGTGAATTCTGAAAAGACAGTCCACAATTCATGAGATTCACCGGCCTGCATCGGTGCCGCTTGCTCGCAAACAGCACTTGTCCCGGCAGTCTGCTCAGGGCTACGTGTGGGGGGACATCTCCGTCGCTGTGCTCACGACTTTTAATTCTCGCCGTTGGAATGCAGCCCAAGCAAAGTGTGCAAAACCAAACTTCACGCGATGGGTTCGTTTGAGCCCTCATTTGCAACGGGGCTGAGACCGTCCACTCGCCGCATTTGAGAACTTGATTCAGGGCACACACGTGCGGACACACACATACACGCGCACACGCACACGCACACACACGCGCACACACACGCACACACACGCACACACACACACACATACACGCGCACACGCACGCACACACACGCACACACACATACACGCACACGCGCACGCACACACACGCGCACGCACACCCATACACACACGCGTGCATGCACACATATACACACATACGCGCACACACACACGCACAACAAAGACAAAGATCCCCCATAGAGCCTTAACAGAATGTTGGGGCAAGTACTGTTAATGCGTAGCACCTATGAAGGCCGGCACGGCACACGAGGGAGTGGGTGGCCAGGACCACGCCCGGCCGCCTTTGTCTCCCCAGTGGCGATATTGACGCATCGCACCAGGTATACACGATTCACGTGCATCTACTTGCGTACCGATGTGTCTGTGTGTACGCGCAGCTATGTCTGGTCACCCACGCGCACGCACGCACACGTGTGTGCAAACCATCGTGCGTGTGTTAGTGGCGGTTGATGGTGTGCGTGCGTTCTCACGTGATCCGTGCATTGACTCCTATTAAGAGGCCACTCGCTCGCTCGCACACATACATACGTACAAAGCTCCCCCGCATAGCCTCGTCAGACTGTCGGAGCAAGTGCTGTTCGCGAGCAGCGTCTAGAAATGCACGGCAACGCGAGGCGTTGGTTTGACGAGCAACCCCGCCCCGACCGCCTTTGTCTCCCCCCAGTGGCGATGTTTACCACACACCGCGCCCAGGTACTAATTCGAGGCTGAGTCGACCTAGGGGAGGCCCGAGACCAGTTCAGATAATCGTCACTGGTGTTGGCCGCGAGCGGGAATCGAACTCGGGTCGCTGGATTCCTAGCGCATAACCGCTACACCACCGCTCCCCAAAGGAACATACGCACGCACGCATGCACACACGCACGCATGCACACACGCACGCACGCACACACGCACGCACGCACGCACACACGTACGCACACACGCACGCACGTACACACGCACACACGCACGCACACACGCATGCACACATGTACACACACACGTACACATGTACACACACACGTACGCACACACGTAATCATAAATTCGCATACAGAGACAAAAGGGAGGCCCAGGACCGGTTCGGATAATCGTCAACGGTGTTGGCGGCGGCCGTGAGCGGGAATCGAACTCGGGTCGCCGGGTTCGTAGTGCTAACCGCTGCGCCACCGCTCCCCGCACGCACACACGGCAACTCCACTGCACGTTCACAGATTGCTGCTGCCGCTGCTGCTTCCGCTGCTGCTGCTGCTGCCTTGGTTACCACCATAGGTTGATGCAATCAGTTCGGGGCATAGCAGCAACAGCATCGTCGACATCAGCAACAAAGTAGGCAGCAGCAGCAGCAGCAAAATCACCACCAGCATCGGCAGCAGAATGATTAGCAACAGAATGATCAGCAGCAGTATCAGCAGCAGTATCAGCAGCAGTATCAGCAACAACGGAAGCAGCAGCAGTAGAATGAGCAGCAGCAGCAGCACCAAAGGCAAAAGCAGCATTCGAAGAAGCAACAGCAGCAGAATAATAATGATTATTATAATAATCATCAACAGCAGCAGCAGCATGATCGATATTATAACTATCATCATCATCAACAGCATGATCGATATTATAACTATCATCAACAGCATGATCGATATTATAACTATCATCATCATCAGCAACAGTCAAGATGGATGGATGGGTACGTGGACGTAGCTACAGACGACCAGACACACACACAGACACACACACAGACACACACAGAGACACACACAGACACACACGCAGACACACACAGACACACACAGACAAAGATCCCCCATATAGCCTTAACAGACTGTAGGGGCAAGTGCTGTTAGCGAGCACCTATGAAGGCCGGAACGGTACACGAGGGGGTGGGTGGCCAGCACCACGCCCGACCGCCTTTGTCTCCCTAGTGGCAATGTTTACACACCGCACCAGGTACTCATTTGAGGCTGAGTCGACCTAGGGGAGGCCCGGGACCGGTTAAGATAATCGTCACTGGTGTTGGCCGTGAGCGGGAATCGAACCCGGGTCGCCAGGTTCATAGCGCAGCGCGCTAACCGCTACACTATCGCTCCCCACACACACACAGACACACACACAGACACACACACAGACACACGCAGACACACACACACACACAGACACAGACACACACACAGACACACACAGACACACACACACAGACACACACACAGACACACACACAGACACACACAGACACACACACACAGACACACACACAGACATACACACAGACACACACACACAGACACACACACAGACAGACACACACACACACAGGCACACACACACAGACACACACACACAGACACACACACACACAGACACACACACACAGACACACACACACACAGACACACACACAGACACACACACACAGACACACACATACACACAGACACACACATACACACAGACACACACACACACAGCACACAGACACACACACACACACACAGACACACACACACAGACACACACAGACACACACACACAGACACACACACAGACACACACACACACGGGCGGAATTGCAATCGGCATCCTCTAGGCTCAACGAGACATTACACAGCCACCAACTCTCACCCCCCCACCATCCTCCCCACCTCCTCCTCTGTGTGTGCGTGAGTGTGTGGGGAGACAAAGGCGATCGGGCGTGGTGCTGGCCACCCACCCCCTCGTGTGCCGTTCCGGCCTTCACAGGTGCTACGCGCTAAACAACACTTAGCCCCTAAATTCTGTTAAGGCTATACGGGGGATACATATTCTTGTTTCTTTCGGGAAAGTCACGTAGAAGGGAAACAATAAAATAATAACGTAGAAGGGAAACAATAAAATAAGGGAAACAATAAAATACTAAAAAAATATTTTTTTATTATTTTAGTGTTTCCCTTCTACGTGACTTTACCGAAAGAACCAAGAATATGAATCCCTGCAGTCACGAAAGCTTTAAATCAAAATCTATACGGGGGATCTTTTGTATTTTTGTCCCTGTGTGTGAACAGGTGTTGGCTGACAACACTTGCCCCAAAAGTCTGTTGAAGGCTACACGTGAGCTCTTTGCCTTTGTGTTCGTTTAGCATTGATGTCGTGAATTAGTTGGACTTCATTTGTATTCTCAGCATCACTGCTCCCGCGACGAGATGTGAACACAAATCAAGGACGCAACGCTCATGTCGGATATTTCTCGCACTGCTCACAATCATTGTATTTCTGCTGCTGCTGCTGCTGCTACTGTTGATGATGATGCCACTGATGACGATGATGGTGGTGGTGGTGAAAATAGCAGTGGTGATGGTGATGATGTGAATGACAATGATGGCGGTGCTGATGATAGTGATGAAAAATGATGCTCATCATGATGATGATAATTAGTTTACACGTGATACCGTTGCTGATGCTACTGCTAAATAATGATCCTGTTGATTATGATGACGCTGCTGATGCTGATAACAACGACGATGATAATTACGACAATGACGCTGACGATAAAATGATAATGATGATGCACATTCAGCGAATGCTAAATATACTGAATAGCAGTGAAGGTAATGATGATGAAGCTAACAATGATGATGCTGCTGCAATGTTACTGATGATGCTGCTGATGATGATGCTGCTGATGATAATGCTACTACTGATGATGATGCTGCTAATGATTCTGCTGCTGATGCTGATGATGATGCTGCTGCTGATGATGCTGCTACTGCTGCTGATGATGCTGCTGCTGATGATGCTGCTGCTGCTGCTGATGATGCTGCTGCTACTGCTGCTGCTGATGATGCTGCTGATGATGCTGCTGCTGCAGCTGCTGCTGATGCTGCTGCTGCTGATGATGCTGCTACTGCTGCTGATGATGCTGCTGCTGATGATGATGATGCTGCTGCTGATGATGCTGCTGCTGCTGATGATACTGCTGCTGATGCTGCTGATGATGATGCTGCTACTGCTGCTGATGCTGCTGCTGCTTCTGCTGCTGCGCTGACACTGCTGCAGATGACGACGAGGGCAACGGCGATGCGCCGGCAGCGTGCGGCACCTGCAGGAAGGTGGCGGAGACGATGTGCAGCGGGACCTGGCTGATGGCGTCGTCCTGCAGGGGCGAGCAGAGCGTGGCGTCCACCATGGCGCGCACCTCGTTCAGCACCACGGAAAGCCGCCTCGCCCCACCCAGCAGCGAGCGGTAGTCGCTCATCTTCTTCTGCGGAATCGTCGGCGTCATCGTTAGCGTCATCGTCGGCGTCATCGTCGGCGTCATCGTCGGCATCATCGTCGGCGTCATCGTCGGCGTCATCGTCGGCGTCATCGTCGGCATCATTGTTATCAGTGGCGTCGTCATCAGCATCACCGTCATCAGCGTCATCAGCATTGTCATCATCAGAATCATCATCATCGTCAACATCATCATCAGCAGCATCATCCGCCACCTCGCTTCGCCCAGAACCGAGTGATAGTCGCTCATCTTCTTCTACGGAATCAGCATCATCAACAGCATCGACAGCATCGACAGCAGCATCATAATTGGCAGTATCAGCAGCAGCATCATCATCGACATGAGCAGCAGCAGCATCATCATCATCACCATCAGCAGCAGCATCACTGCCAGCAGCAGCGAGAGTTAGTCGCTCATCTTCTTATCCCGCATCATCAGCAGCTCTAGCATCATCATCAGCATCATCATCATCAGCAGCAGTAGCAGTAATAGCAAGTGATAATGACGCATCCTCTTCTGCAAAATCGGCATAACCAGAATCATCGGCAGAATCAGCAGCAGCAGCAGCATCAGCAGTCCATCTCATCATCGCCAACAGTAACACAGCATCTTTGTTGTTGTAATCATAATGAGCAAGACACAGTCATCATCATTGTCATCATCCATGATCAACATCATCATCATCATTACCATGGATCAGTCATCGACGATTATTATGATGGATGGCTTATGATGGTAATTACGATTATGACGTCAACCACAATGCTGGATGGTTGATGATGACTGACGACGTGTAAATAAGCGGGAGCATTGTCGTGGAGAATGCAACTCGATAAATTAGCGGCCTGCTTCCTTCCCGCGTCATCCGTCTCTCCACGTGAACAACTAAAAGTGTCGCTGACACAGCCCGTCAGCCGCACGGCCTTCTGGGAGCTCATGCATTCCAGCAGCATTGATCTCAAGGCAAGCAAACCGTGGGCCGGTTTAGACATTCAGTGTCTCATCAGCAGTCTCATCAGCAGTCAGCTTTGCTTGAACCAATGGCGAGTTTGACGCAGTAATTATGCATGGAACTAGGAGCCCCCCCCCCCAACACTCGCGTGTGGAAACCGACCAAGAATTGTTGCATGTCTTGAATGAAAGCTGCCGCAATGACGCACTCCCAGAAGGCCGTGCGGCTGATGGGTCGTGCAGGAAATAATGCGTTATCTTTTTTGTGTGGAGAGACGAATATGTGAAGGAGACATTGCGAATCGTGTGTGCGTGCGCGTGTGTTCATTCCCCAGTTCACTTACCTTCCATTGTAGGGAATGGTACCACTGATCTCTCAAATAGCTGTTCACAGCCTGAGTGTACACAAAAAACACACAAACACAGATTCCCTGCTTTAGCCTCATAGACTACTAGCTAAGTTACCCGGCTTCACACGGGTCTTAGTAATCAAATGTTACGAGTAATGTATTGCCATGCTGTCTTTATCGGGATAAATGAATGCTGCAAATAAAGTCGGTAAATGTGTGTATTTTGTTATGGTTTTTGTTGTTGTTGTTGTGTGATACAGTCACAGGGCCTGTTTGTTTGATAATATGACAGCTTTTAAATTGGCAACCCTTGGAGAGCTTCAGGATAAACAACGTTGAATGCATTGCCATCTGGTGGGTTTCATCGAATGAAGCTTCAATTTTGGCGTACATGTCGACAGCAAAATTGGTGGCAGAGATGCACTTTGCATCGCGAGGAGAGATTGAAGCTGACAATTCCGCAAACCATGATCCCTGAAGGCACGGAAGTCCACGGCGGTAATCTTCCTTTGCGTTGGCAAGCCTGTTGCTGGGTCAGTTTGACCGAAGTAGCAAATGGTAGCCATCATCATCATCACCTTTGCCGGAAAATCAGCGGACATTGAAGAGCACCAGAGGATCGGTGTGTATCAGCAATTCTCCGTAGGGTATTCTCCCTCACTCAGGATACAAGACGAAGTCTCGAGTGCCATGTTGTTCGGCAGCCAGGACAGCGGCGACGTCAGATGTCGCGGGCGCATTGCATCGACGCCCGTGTTGACCGCGTGGGGGTTTTGTCCGTACGGATGACAACACCGTCACCTTCTCCATGGCGTAGGAGTTTGCCTTGCGGAGCGTGTCTTGCGACAGCAAATGAGACTTGCATGTTGGCGTTCGCGACAGTGGTGCAGCGCCGTGGAGCCTGTCCATCATTGTCGGACACGAAGTCGATCTGCTGTAATGCAGGTAGGCCATTAGGTAGCGGCCTGCCGCTGCGATGATGTACCCGGCCCTGCACTTGAAATGTGGGCATGTAGCCAGACGTTGGGTGTGAGTTGGTTGGGTGCCAAAAGATGTCATTTGGAAGCACAAGTTCTATTTTCTATTGTTCTTTCGGACAATGGCTTGCATTGTTAGTGTTGGCAGTGAGCAATACACGAACAGGCTCGGGGTGGTCAATAAACGCAGGCATCCGAGCATTGGCGCTGTTGCAGCATAGCCTCCTTTTCGTGTCATTGCATGGAAGTAGCTGCAAGAAGTAGACATGGAACCAGCGCGGCAACGAATGGATCAGAAGTGTAAATTAAGTGAGCAGTGTACGGCAAAGCAGACTTTTGCGTTTGTCTGCAGGGTAGGCACTTGGTTGCGGACATATCGGCGCTGTTTGCAAGCTGCCTTGCTTGTTCGTGGGCTGGAAGTTGGTTAGCTGTGACTGCAGCCATTGGTGCTGTGTTAGTTTGCTTCCTGCTGCTGAGGAGTTAGTTGCATTCGCTGTAGGTGCAGGCATATCAGCACTGGTAGCATGATGCCTTGATTTTTTTGCTGTACAGGAGTGTCATTAGCTGTTGGGAGCACCATTGCAGCTGAGGCAGCAATGCTGTGCTGCTTCTTGGCGTTCATGAGTGCGTGGAATTGTAGCATGTGAATATGTCACAATGTGTTCGCGTGTGTGGCAAACCGGAAGTAGTGAGAGTGTCCCGTGCATGAGCACATGGCAAAAGTGGGGCGGCGGGAAGGGGCGGGGGCAGTGCGGGGCGGGGTCGGGGGGGCGGGGGCGGTGGGGGAGTTGGACTGTGGAGGCGGTACAGGTGTTACAGGTGAGCAGGCAAGGCAAGACATACCGCGAAAAACGCTCTTAGTCAACCGTGAGAACGTGCATGGAAATGTTGCGGCGTGTAGGTGGTGTCATGGTGTTGACGCAATTTGGATTCGCACACAGACACAGAAACAAAGATTCCCGCTCACGGCCAACACCAGTGACGATTTTGTCTGAATCGGTCCTGGGCCTCCCTTGGCTCGACTCAGCCTGAAAACGAATACCTGGTGCAGTGTGTAAACACCGCCACTGGGGAGACAAATGCGGCCGGGCGTGGTGCTGGCCACCCACCCCTTCGTGCGCCGTGCCGACCTTCATAGGTGCCCGTTAACATCACTTGCCCCAACAGTCTGTTAAGGCTATACAGTGAGGGGAAAAAGTATTTGATCCCCTGCTGATTTTGTACGTTTACCCACTGACAAAAAAATGATCAATCTATAATTTTACTGGTAGGTTTATTTGAACAGTGAGAGACAGAATAACAACAACAAAAATCCAGAAAAACGCATGTCAAAAATGTTATAAATTGATTTGCATTTTAATGAGGGAAATAAGTATTTGACCTCTCTGCAAAACATGACTTAGTACTTGGTGACAAACCCCTTTTTGGCAATCAGAGGTCAGACGTTTCTTGTAGTTGGCCACCAAGTTTGCACACATCCCAGGAGGGATTTTGTCCCACTCCTCTTTGCAGATCTTCTCCAAGTCATTAAGATTTCGAGGCTGACGTTTGGCAACTCGAACCTTCAGCTCCCTCCACAGATTTTCTATGGGATTAAGGTCTGGAGACTGGCTAGGCCACTCCAGGACCTTAATGTGCTTCTTCTGGAGCCACTCCTTTGTTGCCTTAGCCGTGTGTTTTGGGTCATTGTCATGCTGGAATACCCATCCACGACCTATTTTCAATGCCCTGGCTGAGGAAAGGAGGTTCTCACCCAAGATTTAACGGTACATGGCCCCGTCCATCGTCCCTTTGATGCGGTGAAGTTGTCCTGTCCCCTTAGCAGAAAAACACCCCCAAAGCATAATGTTTCCACCTCCATGTTTGACGGTGGGGATGGTGTTCCTGGGGTCATAGGCAGCATTCTTACTCCTCCAAACACGGCGAGTTGAGTTGATGCCAGAGCTCCATTTTGGTCTCATCTGACCACAACACTTTCACCCAGTTGTCCTCTGAATCATTCAGATGTTCATTGGCAAACTTCAGACGGGCATGTATATGTGCTTTCTTGAGCAGGGGGACCTTGCGGGCACTGCAGGATTTCAGTCCTTCACGGTGTAGTGTGTTACCAATTGTTTTCTTGGTGACTATGGTCCCAGCTGCCTTGAGATCATTGACAAGATCCTCCCGTGTAGTTCTGGTCTGATTCCTCACCGTTTTCATGATCATTGCAACTCCACGAGGTGAGATCTTGCATGGAGCCCCAGGCCGAGGGAGATTGACAGTTCTTTTGTGTTTCTTCCATTTGCGAATAATCGCACCAACTGTTGTCACCTTCTCACCAAGCTTCTAGGCAATGGTCTTGTAGCCCATTCCAGCCTTGTGTAGGTCTACAATCTTCTTCTTTGGTTATTTCATCAGGCCGCTTGTGTTGTGGCCGAAACGTCGTGAGAATATTATTGTGTTATTTTAATTTATCAATTTATTATTTTATTCTCATTCTATGTGACTTTACCGAAAGAACCAAAGAAGATGAATCCTTGCAGTCACGAAAGCTTTAAATCGAAATTTAAGTCTACAATCTTGTCCCTGACATCCTTGGGCAGCTCTTTGGTCTTGGCCATGGTGGAGAGTTTGGAATCTGATTGATTGATTGCTTCTGTGGACAGGTGTCTTTTATACAGGTAACAAGCTGAGATTAGGAGCTCTCCCTTTAAGAGTGTGCTCCTAATCTCAGCTCGTTACCTGTATAAAAAACACCTGGGAGCCAGAAATCTTTCTGATTGAGAGGGGGTCAAATACTTATTTCCCTCATTAAAATGCAAATCAATTTATAACATTTTTGACATGCGTTTTTCTGGATTTTTGTTGTTGTTTTTCTGATCACTCATCGTTCAAATAAACCTACCATTAAAATTATAGACTGATCATTTCTTTGTCAGTGGGCAAACGTACAAAATCAGCAGGGGATCAAATACTTTTTTCCCCTCACTGTACGTGCGATCTTTGTTTTCGGCTTAGTAGCAGAGGTAGTGGTGCTGTAGCGAATGTGACTCAGACAGCCTTGAGAGAGTAAGGGGAGATCGGAAGCAAATACAGAGGACAAATACACACGGCAGAGAGGACACGGTTCAACCAATGAATAATTGTTAGCCAAACAATCAACCAGAGGTACAACCACAAGCTCACTGAGTCAACCCATTTAGCAAATAAACTATTAATAAAGCCACCCACTCACTCGGCCGCCCACTCACCAAATAGCTAATCGACCATTCAGAAATTCACTGGCCCATCTACCCACCCGTAAAATCTAGCCAGCCACACAGTCAATCTATTCTTCAATCAGCCATTTGTAAAACCACTCAACCACTCACCCAACCAACAAACCACCCACCTGCACCCAAACAGACTGCTCACCCATCCACTCACCCACCTACCCACCCAACCGCCCATGCACTCACCCACATCCACCCATACAGCCACACATACAGCCATCCTCTGACCCACCTACCCCAAACAACTGCCCATCTATCAGTACAATCCATACAATACATTCTCAAACTCTCTCCCTCCTTCTCTCACCCCCTCTCTAATTCTCTCGCCAATTACACACCCACACATCTACCCATACAATCACCTACCGATCCACTCACCCACCTACTTACCCAGTACACAGGGAACGTTAGACGAACATTGGTCCAGCGTTTCCAACTACATGCCAACGTCGGTCTGAACGTTGCACGTTGACCGGGTACCAACTCATTCGCCCACCCACTCATCTAACCACCCACTCATCCAACCACCCACTCACCTACCCACGCACTCACTCACCCACCGACCCACCCACTCACTCACACACTCACCCATCCACTCACCCATTCACCTACCCACTCACTCACCAACCCACTCACCCACGACCCCCCCACCCACTCACCCACCCACTCACCCATTCACCTACCCACTCACTCACCCACTCACCCACCCACTCACCCATTCACCTACCCACCCACTCACCCACTCACCCACCCATTCACCTACCCACCCACTCACCCACCCACTCACCCATTCCCCTACCCACCGACTCATCCACCCACTCACCCACCCACTCACCCACCCACTCACCCATTCACCTACCCACCCACTCACCCACCCACTCACCCATTCACCTACCCACCCACTCACCCACCCACTCACCCATTCCCCTACCCACCCACCCACCCACTCACCCACCCACTCACCCACCCACTCACCCACCCACTCACCCATTCACCTACCCACCCACTCACCCACCCACTCACCCATTCCCCTACCCACCGACTCACCCACGACCCAGGAGCCCTCACCTGCAGCAGCACGGTGCCACGCGTGACGGTCAGTTTGAGGCAGTACTTGGGTGAGTTCTCCCACGCGACCACATGAATGTCTTCAATGTCACTGTAGGGGATGGGGTGAGCCAGATACCCACACGGCTGGGAGGCCACGGAAGGGGGGGGGGGCATGCGGGGGAGGGGGGCCGACAGGAGGACAGAGAGAGAGAAGGTCAGAGTTCACAATTGAGTTATCACAGCCAAAGTGACTCTGAATACACTGGCACTGTTGACTCGAGCTCACACACATGCACACACAAAGACAAAGATCCCCCGTAGAGCCTCAACAGACCATTGGGGCAAGTGCTGTTAGCGAGTAGCACCTGTGAAGGTCGGCACAGCCTTTGTCTCTCTCGTGGCGATGTTTACACACCGCACCAGGTACTCATTTTCAGGCTGAGTTGAGCTAAGGGAGGCCCAGAACCGGTTCAGATAATCTGGCCGTGGGCGGGAATAAAACTCGGGTCGCTCAGTGCGTAGTGCAGCGCACACACACTCACGCAACAACAACCGCCATCCACCACTAAGTGGCGGTGACGTCACCACGACGCTTGTGCCAGGCCATGTGCACCTTGAGGCCACGTGAAGTGTCGAACGCCCGCTGGCAGGAGGTCACGGGGCAGTCCCACGTGCCACGGGTCGACTGACTGAGATGACTGAGATGACTGGCTGATGCACCACCTGTGCCCCCTACTGTGCCAACCTGCTGTGCTTTAGCCACCCGGCGCTCCGCTCGTTGTTGTGAGCGTCACTCCTCCGCCCTCCGTTGTTGTTGGAGGGCGACTGCCTCCAACTGCCCAGTAGCGTCCTTCACGAGCCTCCTCCACAGAGGCCGATCTTGACACCGCTGGTACCAGTCATCGGCAAGTCCACTCAGCTCCACGTCCTCCTGTACCACATCACTCCATCTCTTCTCTAGCCCGTGCCGCGCCCGTTTAGCCCCCTCGATCCGGCCAAACAAAAGCTGTTTCGGCATGCGGTGGCTGGGCATGCGGGCTACATGACCCAGCCAAAGCAGCCTTGCCTGCCTGAGGAGCTCACCGATGGGACCTTGCCCAGATCTTTCAAAGATTTGTGAGTTCCTCACACAATCCATCCTGGTTAAACCCAGGATGGATCGTAGGCAGGCTAGCCTAAATGTTTCTAACCGGCGAAGATGTTCCGTTAGGGGGGTCCACGTTTCGCAAGCATAGAGAAGGGAGGGAATGACCGTGGCCGAGAAGACCTGAAGCTTAGTGCGGAGCGACAGACCAGGTAGCTTCCACACAGCGTTACACAACCGATGAAAAGATATTGCCGCTCGACTGATTCGGAGTGAGACCTCTGCTGTTAAACTGGAGCCGGTCATAAGCACACTGCCCAGGTATGGGAAACTCTCCACTCTCTCCACAACTGCCCCATCACCGATTGGGAGTTGTGGGGGTGGAGTGTCCGATGGCACAAAATACCCAGGCAGGTGCTTAGTTTTGGTGGGGCTGATGGCAAGGCCCTATCTCTTAGTGGCACACTCCAGTCTCAGCAGCAGCGTCTCCAACTCCTCCTCTGAATGAGCAGCTATTACCAAATCATCGGCATACATAACGATGATTTGACCGCACCCGGGCATCGATCAGCCTCCCATTATATCTGTACCAAATGGAGATTTCCCCGGTACAGCTACTGAAGGCTTCACGAACTACGTGGTCAAAATATATGTTAATAATGTGGGAGCCAGAGGACATCCCTGTCGCACCCCAAGGTGTACAGGGGATGGCTCTGACTCCCGGCCATGTAGTTTTACCCGGGCCTGCTCATAATCATGAAGGTCCTTAATGATCGTGAGCAGAGGGTCAGGGACTCCAAAAGCACGAAGAACAACCCAGAGCCCAGGCCTACTGATGGTATCATAGGCCTTGACCAGGTCAATAAAGCAGAGATGTAGGTCTTGTTGGAATTCCCTACACCTCTGCTGTAGCAGACGGACAGAAAATATGGCATATGTGCAGGACCACCCTTTCCTGAAACCGCATTGGGGCTCTGCAAGCCTCTCCTCAGCGTGCCTGGCAAGGCAATGTTGAATAATCATTGCCAGGACCTTTCCCAGCACACTGAGGAGTAAGATGCCCCTGTAATTGTTACAGTCTGTGCGGTCCCCCTTCTTAAAGAGGGGGACCACCAGGGCATCCTTCCAATCCTGCGTAACCTGTCCAGTGGTCCAGACTGTTATGATGTCATATAGGGCAGTCTGTGCACAAACGCCACCCTCCCTCAGCATTTCGCTTGGGAGATCATCTCTACCCGGTGCCTTTCCTGGTCTCAGACTCCGGATCGCCCTCAGTACTTCCTCAACAGATGGCGCATCAGTCAGCCACTCACAGGGGGTGACTTCTTCCAATATTTGAGGCACTGCAGCCTCAGCAGGGTCACGCACGCACACTCACGCACACACTCACGCACGCACAGATACGCACACACGCATGCATGTGCACGCGCACAAACAATTGATAGCTCAACGAAATGGGCTCATCATCATCGTGTAGAAATGTAGAGCAGCCCAATACTCTGAACGCATGACGTTGATTCTAAATGTGGAGGGAAAACCCGGAGGATCTGGAGAAAAATCCACACGACCACGGGGAGAGAGAGAGAGACACCACAAACTCCAAATATACAGCAGGAATCAGGGTCGGGATCGAACCCATGATCTCCTGCATACCAGGCGAGGTAGTTAACACCTCCTAGCCACCGTGATGATGCTGAGAGACACCGCAAACTCCAAATATACAGCAGGCGTCAGGGTCAGAATCGAACTTACGTCCTCCTGCACACCAGGCGAGGTAGTTAACACATCATAAACGTGGTTAGCACAAGTGCCCTGGGCACCTGAGTCTCCTGCCAACTGTGAGCGTCCCTCCTGGAAACTTCCGCAGATTTCTAAACAGCAACAAAGCTCTAAAACCGCGAGCATCTGTCCTGGAAACTTCTGCAGATTTCTAAACGGATAAATGGATCTCAAGCCTTAGCCAGAAAGAGCCTCTCTCTCTCTCTGCCGATATCGATTAATTTTGCCCGGATTCGATTGATTAAAAAAAAAACAGAAAGTATGTTTTGAAAGTGGCTTCAAAGACTCTTTATGCAGCAGGGCCGCTGGACCAAGTCGCCCATCACAGCCAAGCGACGCGGCGAAAATCCCCGACGAGTGAATCGGGGAATCGCGAGTTGAATAGGAGAGTGGGACAAAGCAAAGGACGATGAGAGGGGAGTTGCGTTGTTGCCACGGTGGCTAAGAGATGTTAACTACCTCGCCTGGTGTGCAGGAGGTCGTGGGTTCGATCCCGACCCTGACGCCTGCTGCTGTGTATTTGGAGTTTGCGTGTCTCTCTCCCCGTGGTCGCGTGGGTTTTCCCTCCACGTTTAGAATCAACGTCGCGCGTTTCCAGCAGGGGCGGAGCCAGGGGGGGTGACAGGGGTGGTGAAATTCTGCGTGTAAGTGTACGACACTCGGTCTGGCGGACTCCGTGCAACTGCATTGTCAGAGCGTGTCGCTAATCGATGGCGTCTAGTTCAACAGCCTGACGACTCTCTAATCATTCTTGAAATTAACATTTGTTGAATGTCACCCCGGCCTGAAATCCTGGCTCCGCCCCTGGTTTCCAGTATTTGGCCGCTGCTACACATTTCACGACGACGATGACGACGGTGAGCTACTCCGTTGTGCTCTCATTTGCGTCGCTTCTGAAAAGGGAGCTCACAGCTCAGCGGGAACCCTGACCTGGTTAACATAAATGAGAAAAAAAAATAGTTCCGTTTTAATTTGGGCAGTAAAAAACATGGGGAGCGGTGACACAGCGGTTGGCACACACCGCCACCAACAGCTGACATGAGTGGCGAGTCTCCCGTAAGAGCCCTAAAGCACCCGTTGGGTCTCAGAGCCGCCCATCCAAGAACTGTCCAAGCTCAAGCCGGCTTAGCTTCCGGCACTCCGACGACATCGGATGCATTCCCGACGATTTGGTCGCAGGCAAGAATAACACAAAGGCAAAGGTCCCCCCGTAAAGGCTTTACCAGACTGTCGGGGCAAGTGCCGTTAGCGAGCGCCTATAAGGGCCGGCACGGAACACGAGGCGGTGGGTGGCCAGCACCACGCCCGGCCGCCATTGTCCACCCAGTGGCGATGTTTTACACAGAACCAGGTGATGATTTGCGGCCGAGTCGACCTAGGGGAGACCCAGAACCGCTTCAGACAATCGCCGCCGGTGTAGGGCGCGAACGGCAAATCGAACGCGGGTCAAAAGCGCAGTGCGCTAACCACTGCGCCACCGCTCGTCGCACAGCACGCACGGTGCACTCCCTCGCATACAAACTCGCGATACGAAGACCAAGAATGCACCCCCCCCCCCCCCCCCCCCCCCGTGTAGCCCCCTCTCTCGCTCGAGTGCTTTGAGGCACTCTCATTCCCTCACTCAGTCTCCCTCCCTGTCTCTTCACGCTCTCAAGCAATCCCCCACCCATCCTTCGCTCACTCCTCTCTCTCCCTCCCTCCTCTCACCCCCTTTCTCATTCTCTCTCACCCTCTCTCTCATTCTCTCTCACCCTCTCTCTCATTCTCTCACCCTCTCTCTCATTCTCTCACCCTTTCTCTCACTCCTTCTCTCTCACTCCTTCTCTCTCTCATTCTCTCTCACCCTCTCTCTCATTCTCTCTCACCCTCTCTCTCATTCTCTCACCCTCTCTCTCATGCTCTCACCCTCTCTCTCATTCTCTCACCCTCTCTCTCACTCCTTCTCTCTCACTCCTTCTCTCTCTCATTCTCTCACCCTCTCTCTCATTCTCTCACCCTCTCTCTCTCATTCTCTCACTCCTCTCTCTCACCCTCTCTCTCTCATTCTCTCACTCCTTCTCTCTCACTCCTTCTCCCTCTCACTCCTTCCCTCTCTCACTCATTCTCTCTCTCACTCCTTCTCTCTCTCACCCTCTCTCTCTCATTCTCTCTCACCCTCTCTCTCTCTCATTCTCTCTCTCACTCCTTCTCTCTCTCACCCTCTCTCTCTCATTCTCTCTCACCCTCTCTCTCATTCTCTCACCCTCTCTCTCATTCTCTCACCCTCACACTCTCATTCCCT